TATTTGCTTAAGAACAACCGGGTTAGCCAATACTTGTAATTTAGATGACTTGAGTCATAATTGATATTTTACTCATGAGTTTAATATTGCATTCTAATAAAGTGTTGGCAAGATTGCTGAATTTTATAAAAAAAAAAAGAAAAGGTATACATTTATAGAAAGTGTATTTATAGAAGATATATTTATAAAGTTTTTTTTTTTATTCTTTGACAGGTCTTGCTATAACTTGACCTCTTAGTTTGTAGTACATTTAATTTTTATACATTTGTTTTTAAGACTAAATAAAAGCCCAACTTCACTTGGTTGCCTGTAAAGATACCTAGATACATTGCACTAGCTTATGGATAAGCTAAAAAAAACTTATTTTATGAGCTTGTTCAAAAAGAACTTGTACTCTTTTGTATCCAATTCAAAACAGCATTATATTATATTTTTCTATCTTTTTATCTTTAGCTACTACTTTGGACTTTTTTTGTTTTTCTTTTTTCTTTTATGGTGGCTAGTGTGTTTCTCTTTTGCTTTCTTTATTTTCCTATTGTCTTTCTTTTTTATATTTTGATCTTTTTCCTATTCTGTGACTTTATCTTTATAGAGATTTTACTATATATAGATTATTTTTTATAATAAATATTTTATAAATGTATTTTTACTAAACAATATACAGTATATTATTAAAGGTTAACTATATTAAATTTAAAAATTTTCTTTTATTTTAAAATAATGTATATAGATATATTTGAAATCATATACAGAAAATTAATTAGCATGTAAGTAGACATTATTTTATACTTATATAGTATAGTTTTTATACTCTATATAATGTTATATAAATATTTTAAACTCTCTACATATATACATGTTAATATATTGTATATTTCTGAAAATAAACTACTCCTTTTTAACAAAAAAAGTATAGAGATAGCTTATTTTTGATATATTAAGTTTTTTTAAAAATTAAAAAGTGTATTAAATAAAACATTGTTTAACAATAGTAGATATATTTGATATACTAAACAAAATTGTCTTATAAACAAAATTAATCATAATATCAACAGTATAATACCGGCAGTTTATGATACAGCTATATTTGATTTGATAGTTTATAATAATTTCGGCGAACAAAAAATTTCGACACATAGCATTTTGAAGCACCAAACGTCTAATTTAGACGCCATTGTAGACCGGTTTTTGGAGATAAATGTCTTGTGTTCACGGAGAAAAGAATTGATAGAACCAAAGCCTATAAAGTTAATTTACTAAACAAGCTTTACATATATTTTCTTAAAAATTTTCAGCTGTTTATAGAAGGAATCTACATAAATCTAGGTCAAAAGCAATATGATGTATGAATATTTATACATATATATATATACTATATATAGCCAAAATCTTTTTTACACATTTTTTGTTGCTACGTATCATTTAAATTTTTCAAATAAATGAAGCATCCAAAAAAGTAAATTTACAGTATTTTCGTTTACAAACTTGTTCATAATGATTTTTGCATTTATTATTAATGAAAAATACCATTGAAGTAACAATATAATGGTCATTATCACAAACTTCAATGTGTAATCCTTCTTCTCATTCGATTTTTCTGTTACATACATCAATAAACGGAGAGAACTAAGATTAAACCTAATTGTATAACGAAATTCAAAATCTATTATAAATCTTTGATACTGATAACCATTAAAATAAATGATAAATAAATAAAATAAACATTTACGTATTAACCTTATCTACTTTCTTTTTACAAGTCTAATTTTTTGAGGTTTTGGTAGATCTTGACGACGACGAACGACGAGGTCGCACACCCGAGACTGGCTTTTGTGACGATTCACCTTGACTACAGATGATTAATATTAAACGATCCCCTCCATTTAACCTACAAACAACACGTTCAATGAGCGTTATACAATACCTTTCAGTGAAACATCGTGCAAGATGACTTGCGAACTTCGAAACACCTTTCCACTCACCGCATGCGGGACAACTGACAATTGTTGATTTGACTTCTTTGTCAGTTGGTTGTGCGGATAGAATTCCGGCCAGTTCTTGATCGAGGCTTTTTTTTTTTTTATACGTACATGTACATATAGCAATTCATATGTGAATGCATGATATTCTGCTAGTCACATCCTCATCGTGCTTTCAAATTTTTCATACCGTTCCTTCCAAGTCCGTGGTTCTCTAATGTACAAATTCCAATTCTGGCTTGGAATTCGTAGATTTGGTATTTCATTATCTTTATCCTCATCATTATTTTCATTATCTCGAATTGGTGAATAAGGCGGCGATGAAATTGTAGATGACGATGATGATGGAATTGTTGATGCAGAGTCACACGGTGAGTCCATTTTTTTTTTAGTAAATATAGAAAGACAAAGTTGATTTACTTTTATAAGTTTTTTTTTTGTGGAAGTGACTATCACGATTTTCTTTTTGCGGTTTAACTTGATTTCGGATTGATCGTAGACTATATTACAATTAGTGACATTAAAACTTTTTGGTCAAAATTAACATTACTCTGAGAATCGATTTTTAACTAGACTCGGGGCTTAAATGAAGTGTTAATGTCATGAACAATTAAAGTAAATTGGCGTTAGTGCATAAATATCCTGGTTTAGTATAAACTAAAAGCCACCATCACACTATATTGATTATCGCTATTATTTTTAATTAGATTTGTTTATGACAATCCTGTTTTCATGTAAAACAAGCTTGGATCCAACTTGAAAAAGCTTGACTCGAAAGTTGACTAACACGAGCTTTAACATTTCTAATTGCAAACAAAGGTAAAATAGGGTATCGTGTCTGTAAAATATGGTTGTTATCCGATTTTGGTACTATCGCTATTGATTATTATATATATATATATATATATATATATTATATTATGTTGTTTTTTTTTAGTATATATATATATATAAATAAGGGGTCATTCATAATTTACATTAAACCTAGAGGTGCAATTTTGGAGATAGCTACCCAGCAAAAAAATCACGGCGACACGACATATTTTCCGTTTAAGTAGAGGTGCCGTAAATGCCGTATACCATATAAGTTTGTATACCGTACGCCGTCATTCACCTTAATTTAGTGGCAAGTATAACAGTAAAGATGATCTATTAGTCGGTGAATTAAAAAAGTGATTCATGTTTACAAACACTTATTTACTAACTAACTAATACCCTTCAGATTACCATTCTATTCGGTCAGTGAGTATTACAATAAATTTTTAATTATATAAAAAATATATAATATAATACCGTGATATTTCTAGATACGCAAAAGTATACATTATAATAAAGACAGCCATGGTGTTTGGCATGTGATCCCAACAAGCAAAAATGAGAATATTAATGATTGCATCAGAGAATTTCAGCTTAGAACCCTAGGAATGCAATTGAACGAGTTTCATTAAATAAATTACCGTATAAGCGCGAAATAACGCTCGTGGGCGTTATTTGAAAATCGGATCCTTCAAAAATAACTTGTATATTCTCGACGTTAGCATCCCGAATTAAAGCGCATTCTAATGTAGCACAATTTATTGTTGCGATAAATGATGCTCCATATGTGCGCTCTCTATAAGTGCACATAATTTGATCTAATGTATATATTATTAATATTATCGTTACATGTAGATTATGTTCCATAAATGAATATTCTATAAATGTACTTTATCCAAAAACGTGCAGTTATGGAGGGTTGACTGTATTGGATTTAGAAAATCTCGAAATAACGCACAGGTGGGCGTTATTTCGCGCTTTTATGGTATCTAATGTTAAAGAAATTGGCAAAAAAGGATTTGGTTATGTATATTCAGCAACTTAGGTATAAGAAAATTGATTATAATTGTGTAAAGTGAACCATCTATTGATTTTTGTGTTTACTTGAAATTTGATTGGCCAGCGAAAATTTTCAGGGTAGTAACATACTACATCACTCATGGCAACTATCTCACGGCAATATAACCTCGAGTACGACCCTACGTCATAGCCGTAACGGAGAAATGTCTGCATCATTAGCCAAACCGCAATAAACCCAGAAGCCAAGATACTATGCTAAAGTATATCATGAAAAGTTCGAGATTTCACAATTAAGGGCGTTCTCAAATTTCGTCCTCGATGTGATTAGCTAGTAATCGCAATAGTGCACAGCAATATGAATATGCAAATAATGACGTAACGGCAATTGATGTTTTCTCAAACATTATAACTAACTAGTGATCGTAACGATGCTCATTTAGTATAGTCAAAGATTGCAATTGATATTTTAACGGTTATTATTATTCTTCTATTATCAAGTGGGTGCCGTCAAGGGAAAACCAACCCCCTAGCATGACCAACAAAATCAGTTACGTAATCGCTATATAACGACATTTTTTGGCACATATAAATCGTATTTGCTAAAACTTAATTAAATATTAATTACTGTATAAAAAATTTTTATTGCGTAAAAAAAAAACATGTTCATTCAAATTATTCAGTGACCTTTATTATCTAACTTTACATGAATTTATGTATTTCGAATTTATTACAAATAAAAGTATTTTTGTTTTGTTATGGCAGGTTATTGTAAAGTTTTTTGCCTGATTCAGATTTATTGTATCGTTTGCTATCTTTTGAAATTTTGATTCGATGTTTTTTAACCCATTTCTTTTGCTGCGGAAGATTATAAGACTTTTCAAAAAGGTCAAACGCCTATACTAGAGTAGTATCGATATTAGATACTTCTATTTATTAATTCAATAAAAATAATAAATAAACTAATCCTCATAAAGATTTTTTTTATATTGTTCGGTAATTTCTAGTTAGTTTCATCTTGAGTTAATTGTTACAGAAAGTTGTGCTTTATCAAGTGATATGCGAATTTTGGTTTCTTTTTTCAATTAATGGATAATATAAATTTTGTTGAATATCTATTCGTCACCTTTCTTGCAGAGCCTTACAACTTTAATTGTTATAGGAAGATGGGTTATACATAATCTATATGAATTTACAATAAAAAATGTTAAAAACAAATAGTAAATAATTTTTTTTTTTTTAAAAAATTTGGCAGTTATGCCTTAACTTTATTAGGATTTGTACAACTCATCTAGAATATGTAAAATTTTACAACCGAGCATTTCAGAAGGTAAGTGATAAACTCTTAACTTGTCGGCAGATAGTGTATGAGAACTATCTCTAAATGACAAGTGCTGTAGCCCAAATTGTTATCTAATTACAAGTTACGACTAATTTGATTACCAACTTGGTACCTATGTTTGACCTGCTATAGTAGGATTTTCCTCCTTCTGGACCTCTCCTGCAATTGGATATAACCCAGATCTCAACAGATAGTACCTACTGCCCGTCATGACCACTTCTCTCTTCTTTTAGATTTCTTCCACCTAAGCCCAATAACATAATTAAACTCTTATTCATATATAAAAGTGAAAAAAATAAAGTCATGTTTATAAAAAACATAAATATTTTAGAAAAAAAACACCTTATGATAAGAAAAAAAAAAACTAATTCTAAAAATAATCTAACATAAATGAACAAAGATAAAAAAAGTGGAAAAAAAAAAAAGTAGCCATGATACACTATTATAGCCCATGCCAAGCATAAAGGTAAAAATTATATAATAATTGCAACTAATTACTATATCTCAATTGTAAAAACTTTGTTTTAAACTTGGAACTCATTTCAGGTACTGACTTAACTCGGGTATCTCCTAAATGAGGTGAGGATTTTTTCCCCATACTATAGCACTGTATTCACAAAACAACAAAACACGTGGTTGCCTTTTACTGAGTTTATCCTGATTTGGTAGGTGTAAACAATGCTAATCTTTTGAAGAGGGTAAGCCAAAAAGCTCACTTTTTGTTAAAAATTTTGGTGAGAATGGCAAAAAATAAAAAAGAAAGAGAGACCTCTTGGCATAATTTAAAAGAGAGTGAGTTACTAAAAACAAAAGAAACAGCCTTCCACCCAGACAGTACACTACTTGAATTTTTTTAGTGAGTGATAAACTCTGAACTTGTTAGCAGGTAGCGTATGAGAACTATCTCTAAACTACAAACACCAAGTTTGCAGTGAATAATAAACTCTGAAACTGTTGGCAGGTAGCATATAAAAACTGCCTCTAAATAACAAATACTGTCTTATGGTCTTTTTTTCTTTAACTTATAAGCTGGAAGGTTAGTTTTTACTATTTTTATTGAAAAGTTTTTTTGAAAAAATTTGGACCAAGTGATCATTGAAAAGAGTTCTGTTGCTAATATCTACAAATAGTAAATAATATATTTCATAGTAAGTCAAAATATTCTGGTTTTATAAATTTGTCACAATTGTAATAAAATAAGTATACTATACTAGATATCTATTTTGCTTATTAAATTAAGAATTTTTTCAGAGGTTTCTTTGATTTTATTTTCTATAGCTCTTAAACTTTGCAATACCCTTTCTTTTTCTTTATTGAACTTCACAATATTTTCTTTCTAGAAAAAAAAATTAATATATTAAATATTATTTATATTACAAATTTAAAATATATAAATTTGGGAGTTAGGGTCTTGTAGCCTAGTCTAACCCTCCACAAACAATGTTGACAGTTCAATTATAGCTGGTGGTAATTAATTTAATTAATTATTTCTGTAACCTACAGAAGCTTTCAAATGTGAAACCCTGTGGTGGTAAGACTACATATTTGGTTTATAAAGAATTCTTGGAAGGAGCTTCGAGCCATAGAGAAATCTGGGCACTGTGTATAACATGGGTCACAGAAGGTTTACTGCAGAAGGCTGTGTGTGTGAATCTACAATTGGCAAGGTAGCACCAACAACCCTATGGCGGAATTGAGATTTTGATTAAAAGGATGGCTGTATGTGATATATCCAGAAGTGGTAAGAGAAGTAGTGAACATAGTAAGGGGCTGTAGTAAGAGGATGGCTTTATCAAATAAAAGAATACCTTTGGCACATTGAAATAATAAAAACTGGTTAAAAAAGTCAGGAACATATAGCAAGCATCTTGATAGTACAAAAAGAAATTTAGCTAGTGGGTAATAGTCATATAACTAGCATAAGAGTCATATGACAAAATATAACAGGAGTACTGGGTTTTGGAGTACTGAATTGTGGCAGTACTTAAAAGAGGTTCTTAACTCCTGTCCTAAGGGTCTAGGCTTCTGTAACACCATGAGTGATGATAGTACTATAAACAAGATAGTAGCCCGAATTGGCAGTGTAGAATATAAACACCCATAAAGTATATATAGGGAACTGCAACACTATGGGAGGAGGGACCTGAGATATCTATAACATATTTACAAATTGTCTTCTGGGAACACCAAACTAGAAGCACCAATA